TATATATAAACAATAGAGAATCCAAACAAAAATCCACAAAGTAGCACAAGCTATTTTCATTCTTAAGCCTGTGGTGTAAGAAGAGCTAGCTTAATTAAGTAACCTTTTTACTATAAAGGAAATGATTAAAAAAAGAACAGAAAAACAAGGACTTTTATTTTTTGTTTTCATCCTTTCTGATTGTTCACTTTTGTGCTAAATCTGCACATTCTTGTTTATCATTTTCCTAAATATATGCCTCTTGTGTATTTTTCACCTAAGGTTTCAACTGAGACTAAATTACCAAACTAAATAACACCACTGTAGGAAGTGTGCATTAAATTAATTAATTAAATTCCTAATGTTTCAGAAATCCTGAAATCCAATAACATTGATAATATAAGGGAATTTAGCTGCAGGTTGCGACTATTTAGCTTGTTTGCCTGAAGGGGATCTCAAGATCTTCTCTCATCCTCAACCAACCAAAAATTTCCATTTTTTTCCTATTGCTTCTACTTTTTCCCTCTTGCTGATTAATTATAGGCAAAATACAAAATCTAAATTGTGTATCTCTAATTGTTCTCAGCCAGTGTAGTTACTTGCATTTGATTATAAAAATTGCTTCAGGGAATGAACAAGAGAATGAACACAACATTCTCTGAAATTTCTTTAGACAGTTGTGACATTCTTTAGGTGCAGGTGAAGATTGCAGAAGACAGATATGCAATCCTAGAAAAAGATACAACTGTTTTTAAATAGAAGAAGATAAATGCAATGGTTGATCGGTATGGTCTGGGGCTTCCTCTTCTACGCAGGGTGTTGAGTTGGAACACTTCCATATATCACTTCCAACTCTACAAATCTTTGATTGTATTTTTTTCTTAATATACATTTTCAGAACAGATTTACTTACATTTACCAGAGAAGCTGAGAACCAATTTAAATGGGTTTTGATTCATTCCTTTTTGCCACACAAAAATGTGAATAGGAGATAGATGGATTAGAAAGCAACACCCACACAAATTGGGTAAAAGTTGAGTTTATTAAGCAAAGGGGATCAAGCATAATGGAGAAAAGAAATATCCACAGAGAAGGCAGGAAAAAAAAACAGTGATGTTCAACAGAGGAGTATAAATGTACAAGAAAATTTCATATCCCTTTAGCTGAAAGCTCCTCACTCTCATCAAAGGAATATACTGATGTTGCCTAGGTAATTCCATTAAGCATATGGCATCTTTATGAAGTACACTTATACTGAATAGAAGATGGTATAGATAATCCCAAATCTAGATATTGTGTTTGATATACCTTATCAGTAGCTTGGATGAAATTCAATAATTTTCAAGCACATTTCATCTTGATGTACATCTATTTATACTTGTTTTTTCGTGTGTTAGAACAGGGAGCATATTTGTATAAAGTTATGAGATTTCTGAAAGCTTATATCATATGTTATTGAATTATGCATCATCCTAATTATACTTCTTGCCTTTGTAATTTCTTGTGATTATCAAATTACATGAGATAGTGCCAGATAGTATCCATCCTACCCACATTGCCAGATATCTAATCTTTCAAAAGAACTTCTAACGAGATAGATAAAGTTTGTGAAAACCATTTTGATGTGGTGTTTAAAGTATCAGGCTAGGAATGGGGAACCTGTGAGTGCTAATCCACCCTATGAATAAAGGCAGCTGGATGACTTTATGCCAGCCATTTTTTCTCTCTCGCTCTCTTCCTCCTTCCCTCTCTACTTCCCTCCCTCTGTCCTGGGAAGGAGGCAATGGCAAAGCCCTTTGGAAATAGTTTGCCAAGAAAAACACAGGGACGTGTCTAAGTAATCACCAGGAGTTAAGACTGACTCAAAGGTGCAAAATATCAAAAATGACCATTTAGGGAGAGAATAATATAGAGTCCTGTCTATTTCTTGAAAAATTAAAGCTTTAATTAGCCATATTATGTGCAAGTATTAGAGAAGAAGTCAATTTACTCAGAAAAGCATAGGGAATAATAGATCATATCATTTAAACTTTCCTTCTGTTGCAGTTGTTTTCCATAATAACATTGCACCCTGATCCTTACTTCATTAAATCAGGATTCTCAGCTTGTGGCATGTCAGGGGCTGCCAAATATCCACATTTTGCATCTATAAACTGCATTAGGGGTGCAGGATATTTACTGAGCAACTACTGGAATTCTACAGTTCTTCTGGATGAAAAGATTGAATATGTCTCCATAGAAGTATGTCTTCCTTTCTAACTTATTGCTTTATTCGAAGAGGCAAAGAAAATGACAGGAAAATCTAAATTTCTGTTGAATAGAATATAAACAGTACTAAAAGAATTTTTTAGAATCTCAAGAGTTTAGAAAGGACAAATTTGATATTCTTATTTCTCATGCTATAGATGATTGGATTGAACAGAGGTGGAAGAAGGGAATACAGAACAGTTAACCCAAAATCTAAGTAAGATGGGGTGTTAGAGGGGGGCCTCAAATAGGCAAAAAATCCAGTTAATAAAAAAATAAGCACTACTGTAAGATGAGGAATACAGGTTGATAAAGCTTTTTGCCTCCCTTGTTCAGAAGGAATTTTTAGCACTGCCTTGAAGATCATAGCATAAGATATGATAATAAAAGTAAAACAACCTATTCCTACAATGACACTGACCACAATAACTCCAATCTCAACTAGATTGAAACCAGAGCAGGATAGTTTTAGCAGTTGTGGAATTTCACAGAAAAATTGGTTGACAACATTAGAACAAAAAAGGATTGAAAAAGTGCCAGTAGTATGCAATGTTCCATAGAGAAGGCTGGCAACCCAAACCAGAATCATTATTTCAGTGCAAGCTTTCCAATTCATCACCGTCTCATAGTGCAGTGGATGGCAAATGGCAACATACCGATCATATGCCATTACTGTCAGGAGGGAGAAATCAGAAGCTGCAAATGAGACAAAGAGAAAGACTTGAACCACACATCCTAAGTAAGAGATGTGTCTGGTGTCCATGAGAGAATTCACTATGGATTTTGGGACAATAACAGAAACTGAGCCCAGGTCCTGAACAGCCAAATTCATTAGAAACCAGTACATGGGACTATGAAGTCGATTATCTATAGCTACTGCGGAGATGATGAGAAGATTTGCTGTTATAGTTGACAAATATAACACTAAGAATAAAAAGAAATGTAAAATTTGCAAATACCATTTTTTTGAGAATTCCAGGAGCAAAAAGTAAGGCACTGTGGTTTGATTATCCATGATTAACTTATGACTTACTTTAATTTAACTCAATTTAATTTATAAACAGAGATGGAGGAAGTAGTTAGTTAAAAACAGTGAACACATATAACCTGATACAGTCTGAGATCAGAATGGAAAAAACAGAGAGAAAACATGCAAAGAATGAAAACACAATTCAGAAAAGGGATGCAATACATTTGTGTCCAATTACAGCACTATTTATATATTTCAAATTGTCATTGACTAAGCATTAAACCATAAACCACAATTTTCTTCTTCCTTTGATTTCTTTTCCTTGTTGTTAAAATGTTTGCCTAGGACTTGGCAAACATTTTCAAGTCCATTTTAACTGGAGGTTCACTGGACGTTTGGACCAGTAAGTGTCTCTTATCATTCTTAAAGAATTGTTACAATAATGGAAAACTGAAGACAGGAGTCCCATATAAAGAGAGCACCTTAAGGAAAGACTGGATGCAAACCTAATACAGAAAATAATGGAATTAATTGCTATGTTTTTTACTTTGAAAAATTGAAGGAACAGACTTTTAATTGGCATTTTTCAACCTTGCCAGTTTTAAGATGCATTGACTTTAACTAAGGTATTCTGGGAATTTAAGTCCACCCAGTTTAAAGTTGCCCTGTTTGAGAAATGCTGCCTTAAGCAAATAAATATTAGTTGACAAACAAATAGTTGAAAAATATCTATATAATAATACATTTAAGTACATTAATGGTACATTAGAATTTTACAATAGAAAACATTATAATTCACATTGGTATTGACCAGGTGGTCCTTAAAATTACATGAATAGGAAAGCATATTCATCCCAAGAAAAGTGAAAGCTAAGGAGGATATATTCATATTCTAATCAAAATTCTCCAGTTAACATTTCCTTATCTTAAACATTTGCAAAGGTTTCAAATGTAAGAGCAGTTTGATATGGGAACCATATCTGTCAAAGATACTCTAATTTGGGCTCTCCAAGATACTATATTGGATTCAATATCCCAAATAACCTCTTCCAACTCTATGATACTGTATTATAGTTTTGTGAATCTTGGTTGCCACTAATATTTTCCATATACTGAATTACTATTAGTTTATTTTTCATTTTTTTCTGTTTTTAATGTAAACTGGACAGTCACAGATTCTGATCTATATGTCTAGCCGAACCACTACCACCTTTAAACATTCCAAATTAATAAGGAACTTATTAATAATAATTAATAATTTCTAAATATAAAATGAAATAAGACAAAATCTGAACTTATCAACATCAGCATCTTTTCAACAGTATATGCATTTATACATTTTTTAATCCAAAATGTACAAATGAACCTAAAAAGGACTTTTATTATGCCAATTTACTTACTAGTGATCAGTTCACTCCATCAATTTTATTTCAATATTGAAGATAGGTTTCTAAATTTCTGCAAACTGTAGTTATCTATATCATTAATCATCAGTATGTTTGAAAAGTATTTGCATGTCTAATGCATACTGCATTTGTTATTTAGTATACAATAACCGGCCATAGATTTTTTTTTTCTGATTCATAATAATCTAACTTTTAGGCCCAAATGACTAAAATAAATTTCTCCTTTTTGTCTTCATTTGTATATTCTGTGATAGAAGAACAGTAAGTTATATATCATTTCATAATATTCTTTTCTCAGTGTAAAAATTATAATACAATCATTTAATGTAGATTTAAATAAATGCCAGTTAATCTCAGATAGGAATTGCTTTTTAGTCAAATGGCAAATATACTTACTATGCTATACTTACTAGTTTTCTTCATATAATTATTGTTTTTATATTGTTAAACATTGGTTCTACAATAGATGCAATCATATTATTGCTCAGATCTATCTTCAGGGGGGAAAGATTGGTTTTATATTCAGCAATCTTATTAATCGTTTTGTTTCTCTCAAGAGGCAATTAAATAACTTAAAATATGCAATCAAGCTAGACAAAGTAAAAAAAAATCAACCTGAGTTCTTATGGATGTAATTAGCCATTAAGAGCTGCTACATCTGAGAATATTCTAATATCAGTCACCCCATCACATGATCTAATCGTCATCTTACCAACAGAACTGGGGTTCAAGTTCACCAAACATCACTTTCCAATTGAGAATTCAAATCTAGATTAAGTCAGAAAGCCTGCGAAAAACATATCTTGGAATAGTTTCATTCATCTAGAATTTTATTTCATCTTTAGCTTTCTAAAGTGTTGATTGTTGAAAGCAAGTTAAAAGTGCAAAAAATAAAGAAGGAAGAAAAAGAATTATTTGCAATTTTCTATGGTACATATATAGATAAAAAATGCATCAAACACTTACTCTAAAATTAACAATAGACTACATTATTTCTATAATTCCAAATAATTATCAAATCAAAATTTCATATTTTTCAGTTTCTTGGAAATTGACATAACATTTCAACTGGAAAACAATTTCAGTTGGATATTTTTGAGAAGATAAATTGATTTTGGAGAATGGATTTACTATATTCAACCAGACAATAATTGATAAGAGATGTTATTAAGAAGCAAATGAAGATATTTGATCTGGGATGGATCAGAGTTAATTGTTGTGATGATTTTGGATAGATAAGAAGCTGTGGTAAATTGTTAACAGAAGGTTTTGAAACTTGAATTTTGCTATTGTTCTACTTGTTAACTATCCTATTATTAATGTAATGGATAAATGACAGGTCAATAAATTCCAAATAGAGTTAGAAGTTAAAAAAAAATTGGGAACACTTTGTAAGGGGAGGGGAACTAATATTGTTGCAATATATTTATCAGTATTCAACTAGGGCGGATAATGCATGTATATGTGTTTGTGTTTTTTAATGCACATTTTTTTAATGTTCTGTTTATTTTTTTCTTTCTGTTTTTGTAAATTATTTTTTTTAGTCTGTATTTTAATTTTTTGAATAAAAATAAAATGTTGCAAGGAAAACCGCATTCAGAAGTGAGACTTCTGTGGAACGAATGGAAAACTGGCAGAGCTGACAACTGTGACAAAATAAAGAGCCAGCATGTAACCCTACTCTTTAATTCCTCTCTGGACAAAGAGTGGAGTTGAGATCATCCTGGTAGTTCTTCGTCATAAATTGTAACATTTAATAAAACTACTATAAAAGAGAAACTTCTCCTCAACTTTGCATTACAAAGTTCCTCAAGCATCTTAGGTGGGGTAGAATTTATAATATGCAATATTTTTTTAATTGATTTGAATGGGAAGACTTAATTTTGGTAGGTATGATACCAAGGAAAGTGAAAATGAAAGAAAATGCCAGAATGATTAGAATTAATAAAATTTTGTAAATGAATTCTATATAATTGGATAGATCCTAACTCAGTCATCCATGGTAAACCCGAATAGAAGTGAGGAAGGAATTCCAATAGAATTGATTTACAAAATGGATTTTTATGGGGCAGATCTTGTATTCCCTTTCTCCCTCCCTTGCCCCTTGGAATTGTCCTTCTGATATGAGGAAAATAACAAAGAGAAAATTGAACACTATTCATATTTAATGTCTATAATTAAAGAATAAGAGAAAAGCACATTGACAGAAAATTGAAATTCTATACAGAGAGCTACAAAGTATCACTAGCTACTTCCCTTGATAAGCTTCTGACATGGGTCATGTGTGGAGGTGAAAGCAGGTAACAATTAATTACATTCAAAATAGGTTTGCTTTTTCATATCTAATGTTTAGCAAGCAAACAGCATGCTATTCTAGAAAACAGGGAAGAAGAGCTAGCTTGTTTAAGCAGGTTTTTTTTTAACATTTTGGAAATGATTATGAAGAGAAAAACATTTTTCTTCTTCTCTCTGGTATGCAAAATTTCCTGTCATCCACTTTTCTGCTGAAATTGCCCATTTGCATTTATAACTTTCATAACTGTATATAAAACTGCAGATATTTGCATCTTGTACATTTTTCTACCCACTCTTTCAGTTGAAACTGAATTACCAAACTTGGATAAATACATAAGTCAAAGAATGATTGTTCTCTATTGAAATATGAGATGGATACATTAGATCACTTTCCATAAATATTCACAACTCCTGAAATCCAGTGGCATTGGAAACGTGAGGCAGTTCAGCAGCAGGCTGAGGCTGAAGGGGATCTTCCATTATGTAGTTTTTCATGGTTTCCACTTTTCTGTCTTGCTGCTTGGAAGTTATGTTTGCAGGGGCTATCTTTAAAGTTCTCGTGTTTCCATTTCACTAACTACATGGAAATATTTCCTCAAACCATACCTATTTCATCAGAATAGTGGAGATGGCATATCCTGGAGAATGTGCATTCTAATGTTACAAACCCCAAGTACACACAGCACAGAAAAATTGTATCCCATTTGTCCATGACAACCTATACAATCCATAGACCTGTGGAAAATAATTAGGATTCCACTACCCTAAAATATGTCCCTTAACTTAAATGTGCATTCTATCTATCCCACTATTTCTTGTCATTATAATCATAGTTGACTATAGGAAAAATAAGGAGTCTAAATTGTACATTTCAGGTCTCTGTACAGAATTTAGTCTGATTTCAAAAAGGGCTTTAGAGAACATAGAAGAGTGAACACAGCATTCTCTGAAATGCCTTAAAATAGTTGTGACATTCTCCAGATGTAGGTGAAAATTATAGAGGAGAAATTTGCAATTCTAGGAAAAGGTACAGATGAAGATGGATGCAACAGTTAATTGGGATGGTCTGAGGATTCCTCCTCCATGCTGGAATGGAAATGAAGATGTCCAATGTCAATTGCATATCTCTCTCTCTCTCTCTCTCTCTCTCTCTCTCTCTCTCTCTCTCTCTCTCTCTCTCTCTCTCTCTCTCTCTCTCTCTCTCTCTCTCTCTCCAATGTTTGATCGGCTGGGACCAATTACTAGATCCAGGAGTCGTGCACAGGCATTGGCTGGTGTATAAAAGTATTTTCTCCCATTGAGTTATTTGTGCCCTGATGATGTTAGTAGATTCCAATGAAAGCTACGTCTGTTATAGCATTTTAAAATCTTTTTAAAGTTTTTATTGTTTTATTAAAACTTTTAATGATTTTAACTTTCCCTGGTGTTCACTTTTATTGTTTTACTATGGATATGCCCAGGGATCATTCATCTGTTTGCCAGAAACTAGAAGACCATGAGTTTAACCCCTGCTTTAGGCACAAGGCTAGATGGGAGACTTTGAGCTACTCACTTTCACTCTGCCATAGAAAGGAGACAATTGAAATTTGAAAAATGCTGAAATGAAAATTGCATAGACTTGTCCATACAGTATCCAAGAATCAGATATAATTGAATGGAAACAAATTTAGACAGCCTCCAGTGATGGAGCACCCACAACTTCTGAAGGCAAGCTGTTCAACTGGTTAATTTTTCTTGCCATTAGGAAGTTTCTCCTTGGTTCACAGTTGCTTCTCTTCTTGATTAGCTTGTAATTAGCCTTGCCTTTCAAGGAGAATCAATAAAGGCTACACAACCCAGCTTGGTGTAGTGGTTAAGGATCAGGGTTAAACTGGGAAACCCTGAGTTCAATTCCTATCTTAGAATAAAGCCAGATGAGTGACTTTGGGCTAGTCACTTTCTCTCTGTCATAGGAAGGAAGCAATAGCAAACCATTTCTGAAAAAAAAATTTGCATGGAGTTTTCCATAGAAAGCAGTTTGACAGGGGTGTCAAACTGCTGGCCCACAGGCCAGATGCATCATGCCGAAACCGCGCCCACCCCATTGACCACAATGGAAAAAAAGTTGTGATACATCGTGACACATCACATGACATTGCGAGTTTGACACCCCTGCCATAGTGTCTCCAAGAATCAGACATGATTGAAAAAAAAATTAGATAGATAGAGATATATACAAATATAGATATAAAACTTCATGAAGATAAGGATATAACACAGATCAAATACAATTTGGCTAAGCATTGCACTTTAAGCACTGGAATCAGAATAAGAGAATAATAGACCAACAGAGTCGCAAGGGACCATGGAGGTCTTCTAGTCCAACCTATAGCAGGAGACCTTATAGCATTTCAGACAAATGGCTGTCCAGTCTCTCTTAAAAGCTTCCAGTGATGGAGCAATCACAACTTCCAAAGGCAAGCTCTTCCACTGGTTAATTTTTCTCCTCCTTAGGAAGTTTTTCCTTGCTTCACGGTTGTTTATCTCTTTGATTAGTTTGAAATTAGCCTTGACTTTCAAGCAGAATCAATAAAGGCTGCACATCTCAGCTTTCAAAGCATGGAGAAAAAACTGAGCTTCATTGACTAGGTACATAATCTAACGCACATGCACATGCAGTTAAAACAATTAAAATAGTGAAGTAAAATGACATCCTTTTGATTCAGTACCATAAGTGAATGTACTAAATTACCTTCACACTATGATTGATTCCTAGATGTAATAGTAGATTTAAACATATTACACAATGCAACTTGGATCTCCTTGTTCCTCATAGTATAAACAATAGGATTAATCAAAGAAGGAACCACAGAGTACAATACAGTGATTGCTATTTCTACACTTGAAAGGGAGAAAGAAGGAGGTTTTAGTAAATTAACACTTGCAGTGCTGACAAACAAGGAGACAACAATAAGATGTGGAATGCAAGTTGAAAAGGCCTTATTTTGTCTTTGCAAAGTAGGTATTCTAAACACAGATTTGAAAATCTTCACATATGAAACAATTATGAAACCAAAGCAAGGAAAACCAATACCAGCTATACTAAAGAGGATGAATCCAACTTCAATGAGATATGAATTGTCACAGGATATTTTCAGAAGTTGTGAGACATCACAGAAGAAATCATTGAGAACGTTGGAACAAAAGTTGATTGCAAAGGTGCCACAGGTGTGCAAGGTTGAATAAAGAAGAGCTCCTATCCATGCAGTGGCTGCCAGCTGAAAGCATGTCTTCCTGCCCATTGTGATTTCATAGTGCAATGGGTCACAGATAGCAATGTATCTATCATATGCCATTCCTGTGAGAAGGAAAAAATCTGACATCGCGAAGAACAATAAAGAAAATACTTGTGCGACGCACCCGGAGTATGAGATCTCTCTGCTGCTCAAGAAAGCATTTATCATGGCTTTGGGAATAGTCACAGAAATAGAGCCAAGGTCTGTAACAGATAAATTCACTAAGAAAAAGTACATGGGTGTATGGAGTGGAGGATGGATGGACACTGCTAATATGATGAGAACATTTGCTATTAAGGATACTGTATAGATCACTAAATACAAAATGAAGTATACCATGTTTTTCTCTACTTGAGCAGAAAAACCCAAAAGAATAAAAGTAGAGATGTCACTTGCATTAAGCATTTTTTTCTGGAGTATGCATATTGCATTGCTGTGGAAATGGTAAAAATAATTTCAACTGATCACGTAGTAATTATGAACAACACTAATATTAATGAAAGTTGCAAAAAAAATCAGAAAAACAGATGGATCTTCCTTTTCTCATACCTAAGACATAGAACAAAAATATGGTTTAAAATTTTCACATGTTTATAGGGCTTTTGTAAGAAATTACCAGCAATCAATCTCAGTTTGGAGAATATATTGTGTTATTATGTTAACATTATAACAATAATTTCCATCAACTGTTTAATGATAATTTTAACACATCTCTGTTGCAAAACACATTATAATGTACTGCAACATTTTTCGTTCTTTCAATTTAGTAGGATTTAACAGCATGTTTTCTAAATGTGGGAGCAGTTTTATACACAAATATTTCCATTATGCTAGATTTTTATCATATTTCAAAAAGAATTAATATCAAGAAGGTTGGGAGTGAGGGCACAGAGAGAATGATTATGCAAGATATAGAGAAAAAGAGAGAAATTACATTTCATACCTCAATTCATAAGAATGATGACTTCAATAAATCACTATAAAATTTATATTTTCTCAGTATGTGTTGGATTATACAGAGAAATTATGCATCTTATTAAAATTACGCTTTATAGATCTATCTGCTTATATCACAGAGACAAGTATTGTTAAATAAATTCCCAAGAGCAATCAGTAGCATTAGTAGTCTGAAGTAAATCTCTAATGAAAAAATGTACTGCCAGATGACTTGTGTTTTTATAGCTCTAACAAACAAAATATTGAGCTTCCCTTGAAAAGACTATGATAACCTTTGGCTTTGAAATGGCAAGTCAGATTGGGTGATCAAACCTACTCTAATAATCTAATAACATCTAATGGATACTATTTGGCCATTTATTATATTGTATCCAATTACTCTTTTTGTTATAATCTTCTTAACTTAACAAACAAACAAAAATCCTTCTTTGTTTTCTTAAAAAAAAAAAAAATAAGGAACTTCCAGGGAAGGAAAGTGCTAGAGGCAAAGACTTCAGTAAAATGAAAAACTGGCAAATAGATATTAATGTGAAAAATATTGAACTTCTATTCTAATAACTTAAAAACTTTCTTTACTAAGAAAAATGATATTCCTATTTTGTTTTCTCAAAAAAGGGACTTCCAGGGAAGAAAAAGAAAAGTGATAGAGGCAAAGACTTCAGCAATATGAAGAGCTGGCAAGCAGATCTGCTATTTATCATTCTTCTCTGGGCAAGGAACGGATCTGAGATCATCCACATGTGTCCCAGGCAGTTGTTCTTCATGAGCAAACGTTATTGTTGTAAATTATAATATTTAAGATTAGTTCTATTGAAAAGGAAATGCAGTCAAAAGGCCTTTTGCATTACAAAGTTTCTCAAGCATCTTAAGTGGAACAGAATTTATGATATTAAATCTCCTCTACCTGATTTGAATGGAAAACCTGAATATTGGTGGGTAAGATACCAAATAAAGTGATCATTAAAGAGGTCACTAACATAATTCCAATTAACAAAAGTTTCTACATTTTTGTTTATAATATTTGTAGCTCAGGGTTGAATTTAGAGGTCCTTGGCGTTCTCTGAACTTGCTCCTATTCTTGCAGAGGTTTCATTACCAAAATTAGGTAACATCATCAGTGCTAATCAAGGATGTGGTTTGCTGTCAGTTTATATTCTGGTGGCTTGCCCTGTTAGTGTTGGTGGGGGGTGGTCTTAGAGAATCTTTGGTTGGGCTGTTTATTGTTGGCTCTTTGGCAGTTTCTTGATTGAGATATTGTTTATTTGATTGTTAGTCTGATGTTAACCTTGGAGTTTATCTATGCTGATCTGGGTGCTGACTGCTGGTGGGGAGGTGCTTGGGTCTTCTTGTTCCCTTTGGACTGGTTGATTGTCTCATTTGCATAGTCTATAGATGTTGTTAATGTCTATGTGTCTATTGATGGCTAATATGTGAGAGTGCCAGGCTTCTAGATTTTTATATATCCTTTTCCTTCCCCTACCCATTGAAAAACTCATCCTGATCAGAGATAAATTAATCAATAGGAAAGTGAACGTTTTTCATCTTTAGATTCTATAATTAAGCATGAGAGAAAAATCATGCTAACAAACAATGAAGAATCCATACTGAAAGCAACAAAACAGCACAGACTGTTTGTCTTGGCAAGTCTCTGGTTGTGAAGCATGGACCATTCTGGAGATTAAAGCAGATAAAAATTAACTCATTAAGATCAAAGAGGAAGGCTTGCTAGTTCACATCTCATGCTTGGCAAGGAAACAACATGTTATTCTAGAAACAGGGAAGAAGAGCTATCCTAGGTAAGCAGCATGTTTATCATTTTTGAAATGTTTAAAAACAGAACAAAAAAAAAACCCAACATTGAATTTTCTCACATTTCTTCCTGTTTTACACTCTTCTACTGAAACTGCACATTCTGATCTATTACTTTCCAAATGTGTATGTGTCTGTACAAATTTGTATCTTGTATGTTTTTCAACCCAGTGTTTGACTTGAAATTGCAGAACCAAGCATGGAGTAATACATAAACCAAAGCATCACTGTTCTATATTATATTGCAGGAAGTGTGCATTAAATTAGTTTCCTTAACAATACAGAACTCCAGAATTTTTTTTTTTTAAAGTAACAAGGGAGTTTAGTTGCAGATTGTAGCTGTCCAGTTTGTTTGACTGAAATGGATCTCAGAACCTATTATATTCACTTCTACAAAAGTTTCTATTTTTTCACTGTTTCCATTTTTCTCTCTTGCTGCTTGTTGTGTTTGAAGGTTTCTTCTTCAGAGTTCATGTGAAAGCATTTGACTAACTACATACAAACTTTCTGTCAATGCTGCTAACATTGGATGTTCTTGCTTTGACAACATATGAAGATGCAGCCTTTTTCTTTCTTATGCTTTACTTTTAGAATTAGATGATGCTGTGAGAGGAGGCAGAATGTGGTGGGAGTTAGTTAGACTTAACAATATTGTACTAGTGTGTGAATTCAGAGCTTGAAATAAGAGATTATAAGAATTGCCTGGTGTTAGAGAACAGGAGGGAAAGCCTGCAATTCAAACTAATTGTAGAATGTGATTTATGACTGTTAATTGAAGGAGGGAATTGTGCTTTAATACTATGTGCTCAGGGGAGGGGAATTCAGATTTTGGCTTCGACCATGTATGTGCCGATGCCATGCAACTTGAATAAAGATTCTTTAAGGTAAACAATGCCTTGAAGTTCTTTGAAGAGTTTCATCTGTCAGAACCATGACACTGTCTCTCAAATCATACCTCTTTCATAAGAGTTGTTGATATTATCCAAGAGAATGTATATTCCAATGTAACAGGCCCAAATTATATTCAGCCCAAAATATTTGAATCCCATTTATCCATAACAACCTAATATCTCTATACCTGTTGAAGATAATTAGAATCCCATGCCCTAAAATACAACTCTTAACTTAAATCCACATTCAATTCATCCCACTATTTTTTATCATTGTAATCATAGTTAACTGCAGGGAAAACTAGAAATCTAAATTGTACTGTATATCTTTAAATATACTAGATCTATGTAGTGGCTTGCACCTGATTCCAAACAGTTCTTCAGCACACAAGAGAATGAACACAGCATTTTCTGAAACTCTTTAAAACAATTGTGTCATCCTTCATCTGCAGGTAAAAACTACAGATGACCCATATGCAATACAAGAAGAAGCTGCAGCTGTGCAAAAAAGAGTTCGATGCAACTGTCTTTTGGATGATCTGAGGACTCCTCCATATATTTGCCTTCATTCACTTCTAATTCTACAAATCTACAGTCCTATATTTTCAAAATATATTTATTTGCATTTACCAGAAAGGTTGAGAACAGTTTGATGTAATGGTTAAGGCCTCAGATCAGAAACTGGGAGAGCATTAGTTAAAGTCCTGCCTTAGCAATAAAGCCAGTTGTATGACCTTGGAGTACTCACTTTCACTCAGGCTTAGGAAAGAGGCAATGGCAAACCACTTCTTAAAAACTTTGCAATAAATACCGCAAGCACATATCCATTCACTCTTTGAGAACAAGATATAACTGAATAAAAACATCAGACAGATTGAGATACATATAGAACTACATAAGCATCAGGATATGACATCTATGCAAAAGGGCAGATTCTGCTTTAGTATTTTATTTCAAGCACTGGAATCAATGTCTGTAGAGATTTTCAGTTATCCAGGTAATAGTTGGCGCAAAGGTGTTTTTTTTCTTCAAAAGGCAATTTTTCCCCTGAGGAGGAGGGGGAGGAGGAGAAGGGGGGAGGAGGAGGAGGAGGAGGAGGAGGAGGAGGAGGAGGANAGAAGAAGAAGAAGAAGAAGAAGAAGAAGAAGAAGTAGTAGTAGTAGTAGTAGTAGTAGTAGTAGTAGTAGTAGTAGTAGTTTTGTTTCTCGTCCAAAGAAGTTTCATAGTTCAGATGGCAAAGGGTATGGAAGGATAGGTACTGACAGTTGAAACTGGATGGTGGGGGATGGGGGGATGGAAGGATAAGTTCTGATAGCATGGTGATGGAAGGATTTTATTTGGACTGTACAGTGTATATTATTTTATTTGGACTGTACAGTGTATATTAAGCCGCCCTGAGTCCGTAAGGAGAAGGGCGGGATATAAATTTAATAAAATAAATAAAATAAATAAAGGAAGATTGAAGCCTTAACATTGACGTTTACAGAAATCACATCACACAGATCAGTATTTATATTTTGATTCTCACCACCCACTGGAACACAAAATGGGAGTGATGAGAACTCTATGCCACCTAGCTGAAAGTTTACTTACCAGTAAAGAGGGAAAAGAAAAAGAACTAAAACACATCAGAAATCCATCCGAACTTGTGGTTACCCTAACTGGGCCTTCACCTCCCCACCAAAAAAGTCCCAGCAAGAGCTCCTACATTACAGACAAAGAAGAGAACAACAAATGTAGCAATGTTGT